ATTTTCTTCATAAGAGAGGTAACTGATATGTTTGGGAATGCATGAATCATGGTCTTCATTTGGGTAATGATCATCTGGGCACTGAAAGCATTCATCTAGGTCTGGAAACAGGGAATAGATACATTAAATCATTTTTGATACTTGGTTTTCTGCATATTCCCATATGGTTGATTAAGTATGAAAAATATATTAAGTTATTACATTTATCTTTTTCTGTAGTCCATATTTCCATGTATTAGAATATCTAGATGTCAAATATGTGTTCAAAAGAAGCCACATTAGTGAAGAAGCTATATTCTAATGGGAAAAGTACATTCAGTAGGACGTTCAAATTATTATTTTTTCTTTGATCACAAATCGATGAAAGACAATAGTTATGGACCTACAGGGAATGGAAACTGAGACTACATGTGAATTATATGGCAATTCTGGACTGAAGAAAGTAATGAGAATCCAGTCAACTCCTTGTACAACTGACAGTAAAGAAAACATGTTCAATAAATTATTTCTGTCCGAAGTCCCAGGGGCATCATTGTATCTTCTTGCCTCTCCCTTCCAGCAGTTAAAGACCTTCTCTGACTCAGGACATTTAATTGCATAGATATGCACTTGTTGCCATGCTACCGTGGTGTATCTCAAACTATCAGCCATGAATAGCTGGCAACTTATATAAAGCAAGCACTGCTTGAGCATCACTGTTCCTTGCTCAGAGCTCATAGAGTAAATAAAAAGGTAAAAGTCCTAAAAGTGAGAGTTTACAGTGAATTGCTTCCTTCCACATAGTTTGAAAACCATCATAAAATATTAAGAGGGATAGAGCTGCAGGAAGGAGCAATTTAATATGATCTCACTCAGTTACAGTGTGATGGGTTGACTGTTGGAAGACTTGAGGGACCAGGATAGGAACAAATAGTCATGAGAAAATTTATGTATATGGTCACTAAGAGTCAATAATGACTTGATGGCATGTAATCAATCAATCAATCATATTTAGGTCTTTATTCCTGCCATTCCTGACTCCATGTATGGAAGGTTGCATTAGTGTCATATCAGGGGACTTGAAAGATTGGTCTCAGAAATTTGGGCTAATCAGGTACCAGTGGGATAAGGTTGGCAAAGGGTCCCAGCTATGTACTGTGTAGTAAGTGGTAGGGACTTTGCTTCAAATAATATAATAAGCTGAGAATGATGGAATCACAGGATAACTGCTACACTCTTCTGTTCATTCAGAATGACAGGGCTACCATGAGCCATTCCATTGTAGTTGGCTAAGAAGGCCACCCCCAGATATGTGAAGGAATATCTCCATTGATACTTCTTTGGGTACCAATGGAGGCTGAGCCACAATATTTCTTCTCATTACTTTGTCAAGTTCTTCCTGAGATAGTGAGATAACACTTTACCACTATGATAATTAAAACAGGGCATTCCAGATCAACTGCATATTTATTGCAAATAGCTTAAACTATTTCCTAGTCCAAGACAGTAGTAGAAGTAGCAATAGTAGTCATTGTCTCCAAATGAATAGAATGAACACAAACACACACACACATACCCCTACACTTCTCTTTTCCTTTCTTTTCACAACATGCTGGAAGTGAGATTTTACACAGAAAGCTTCATTTCTAGTAGTAATGCTACTTTCTGGCACGTTTTCTAACAAAAAATAATCTTGATATAACCTGTTGTTAAAATGCTGAAACAGTTTCTTACCTGTCTGGTTTGAGATCTTCTCTTCTGAACATGGAGTACAATCATAGCAGCAAAAGGGTTCTCCTTCTTTCTTGCTCTTTCTGTAACCTGAATGGCATTTCTCATTACACAGTGAAAGAGGCTGTGTCTATCCATTGGTGGAAGAAGCATTGGATGTCCCATGCAGAAAATAAGAAAAGCACTCAGTCAATGTTCACAATAATAAGGAGGATTCCTAGGTTTGCTTAGAGAAAGTAGGGCAGAGCCAGGTTGACCCACCACTTGTCATTGCCCTCAACAGATACAACTTATATATTTCCAATGGGGTTGGAAAGTAGAGGAATCAATATCTATCTCATTGAGAATGAGGACTATATAAAAAGGGATGCTGATCTTAGACAGAGGAAGCCCTCAATTCATGGACCCTATTTTCTAGAATCCACATTAATATTGAGATTACTTTCAGGGAATGAAGGATGAATTTTTCATTTCAAAGATAATTAGCAGAAACATACCCCATCTTTCTTTCTGGAAAATTCTTAAATCGTACTAATGAGTGAGAGGCCACAATGAACTATTGAGAAAATGAGAAAAGGGTAGAGGGAAAAGATATCAAGCTCTTTGAATCTATATTGATAAGCAAATAAAAGTCAACATCTATTTAGTGATGGCAGGAGCTGGGTGGTCAAAAATTTAAATAAATTTAAATAAACAAATAAATAAATAGCTTTTTCTGTCCAAGTCACTGTAGGAGGAACTGGAATGTTCTTAGTGTTCAGAATGAATTCTAACCAGAAACCAAGCAATTTGAGTTTCAAGAGAAAGAAGTCAGATTATTTAGGAGGTGGGAGGAAGGCCCAAATAAACCTACCTGAAAAACATTTTTTTATTATTATTACAATAATAAATAATTACAACTGTGTAATTCCAAGAACTTAACCCTGAAGGTCTTTATAAATGGCTATTTATTGAAATGACACAGATTTTACCTGGTTAAACTGAGTAGGCCAGACAATGTTCTTTTTGAAAAGTGTCAACGGTTGGTCTGAAGATCCCTCTGGCTCTATCCTTCCAATCTTGACCCTAAGAAAAGACTCATTTGAGTATGTGACCCAGTTGATAATATCAAATTGAGCGACTAATTCTCCATTTTGGTCAAAAGAAATTGTCTCTCCAGTGCTGTCATTAAATGGTACACTTCTTATAAAGTGGCGGATCTAAATGTAAGAATGAAGAAACAGGAAAAGAAATGAAAAATATAGTTGTTTGTATTCCAATATACAATTGTTTATTGTTTTTATGTGAGATAATTATGAAAATAAAGGTTTTTAATTTTACTGACATAAATGAATTATTATTGGTGATTGTTTACATTATTTATATGGCTGTAGAAGAAAAATAGGGGAAATGTTGAGGATTTAATACATGAAGCAGAGGGGAAAGTGCATTGGATGGCCTTTTAACCTTCCTCAAGGGAAAAGGAAATTTAGAAATGAAGACACGAGGTCTCTTAGGAATAGGCTGGCTTATTTTAAGAATGTTTTATGGA